CTATCGTAAAAATTTTTACGAATCGTGTTTTCATATCGTATACTAATCATTGTCTATCCTCAAATTTACTATATATTTTTTCCAAACTGATTGAATCAGCACTCGCTGTTATATCCACTTTTAATAATATAATGACAATATGTCTGTCGCTATGTATTGTCATTATTTTGTCATCCTTTTTAAAAGCCAGGGTTTTTAAAGCCTCTCCAATCCTCATGATCCATAACTAGCTCCTTGACCTTTTTATAGTTGGTAACTATGATCTTCTTTTTTATACGTTCATGACATTCTCGATCTTTAACTCTTTCTCTTTCCTTTTGTTTTCCCGGGTGTGCGACACGGAGGGAAAATAATACAAAACTGTTCCTGTTATTTTAAAGTCTTTTATAACTCATGTTTTTTAAATGATTATCGGCAGCGTCCGCTCTGTTCCTCGGCTGCCACAGAATGGGATCAGTTTTGGGTTTTAATGTTTGGCCATCAAACTTTATTTAATATTCGTTTCATGAAAATGAAACCATATATTTTTTTCCAATATCTTCAGTGAAGCTGACAGCTTTACTTCTTCGTTGTTCTAAATCCAACATGGCATAATTATATAACTTTTACATATTTCAAAAATAACTGTTATTTTTTTTTTTCAATTTGTTATTGAAAACTTAGTAAGTACGTCATTCATAGATTCATTAACATAAAATATCTAATAACATGATTCCAAGACAATGCAACTGATTTTAAAAATATTTTCTAATTGATGTAATGTGCCTTTGTTAGTTCAAATATAAGTGCTTTATATACGAAATGAAATACTTTTCCGCGTTCACTTTACGCTATTACTGGAAGTGTAATCTACCGTATAATTTTGTAACATTGTAAGTAACATATTTGTAGTTGCTCTAGATTCATTTTTATGTTCGTCGTGACGGGTATTTTAATGCCTACCTAATAATAGATATAGACTAAAATGTTCTCTATATTCAAAGATGAAAGTGTGTAAATTTTGCGCGGTAAATTCAAATGTCATTTCCGGCGCAACCAGTTATTACTCCGCTGGCTTAGCGACGCGAAGTGGGTAGAGTTGGCGCCAGCGAGAGGGCTTTATCTAGTGCGATCCCTCCCTCCCTGTTTCCTCTGTTGCCTCCTTGTTTTCTACGTGCAGGACGCGGAGGTCTTTCTTCACTTCGTTCATCGGTTGGTCGGCCAACCGGTCGTTAACCACTAGAGCGTCTCATGTAGGCCTTTTCACCGCCCTATGAGTTGACATGCTTTCGAGGTGTCCGAGTACAATAGGACATTGTACCAGCTCTCGGTTTTTTCGGTTCCTCCAGCTACCATCTATCTATCGGCCAAGATATATATAGTTTTTGATACCACAAATACGTAGTTTTCAGTATTGTACAGCCTACACAGGATACCTGTCCCTATTCCACCTTTGCTCTATAAAGTACCGTCAATCTACCAACTTTCATTCTTTCTACATGATCTAACCGTCGAAGCATCTCCCTTGTTAACCTGATCATTTATCATACCAGAACGCTCTCTTACTGTACTGTTAGGCATTCTGTCTTTAAGAGTGATATGATGCTTTACTTCTGTAGAAAAAGAAGTAGCCAGCCACCATGTTAGTGGCTCATCTATTGCGTCCAGCAGTACCGACAACGTTACTATACGTGTGTGTCACGACTTCATTACTCCATAAAGTCTGCGGATATTGTGGAGTACATGCGAGTGAAAGCCAACGCTGCCCTGACGGTCGAATCGGTCGATTTTAATTAATTTGTGGTGTGAGTAACAACTTAACATCTGTTGACCTTCATGAAGGAAGACTTTTGACCGAAGGCTTCATGTACCGACGTTTCCGAGGACGGTTACCCGACACCCACGTTGCGTCACACGTCGCGGTACACGATGTAAATAAATAAATAGTATTATTATATTATTATATTTATTAGTCTACATATAAGGTTGATGTATTTATAGGTCTGTAACCTGATCATGAATGGTTGGTGCATTGTATAAAATGTAGTCGCTTTTTTTCAGATGTCGATGCTATTACCGCTGTTAGGTATCGGTCTACTGGTGTTGGCATCGTATTACTTCGGTCTATTGTTGAAGGGCAAATCACCAAACAGCGTCAACGAATTTTCAAGAAGGTATTGAATAGGATTCCTTTATACCTTAGGAAACTCAACTATTAAGTCATGTCTGTATCTGTTAATATGTCGGAGATATTATGCTCCGAAACTATAAACAGGGTTGTTTGTAAATACTAACAATCTCGCGGGACTATAATACTAAAATCGTAAATAACAACATCCCATCTCCAGCATAACAGCAAGAGGGCTGGCTTCGCAGCTGAGCTGGCGGAAAGAATAAAAAGTAATAAGTACCAGGACAGCTTTTGGAGTCGAAACCCTTGGCCCGTGGGATCCCGGTGCCCTTAATTTGTACAAAATTTTATCCAAAATTTAAATAGACTATCTGGAAAACCCAAGGGCCAGCAGCTATCTTGTCCAACGCAATAGCATAGCCATACAAAGCCCCGTGATGCCAATGTTCCTGTAGAGAATTTTTATCAGTTAATGTACGGTATATTCGACTCCTCCATACCCAGGAAGATAAGACGTAGCATGCCTTATAGACATACAGACATTACATTAGGCGTATTCATACTAAATTAATCCAGGATCCACGTTCTTTCAGGCGACACATTAGCAACTTAAAATCCAAAGGAGGTTTAGAGACTTTCGTAAGATAGAGATGCTGCTCAAGCCTTCTCGACTTTTTTCTCTAGTGTATTTCTGCCCCGCAAATCGAAATCGAATCGAATCGAAACTGGCATATTCAATCTGAAGTACAAGTAGGTTTTCCTGCATATTAAAAGGATGTAAAGAATGGCTAAAATCGCCAATACTTCACATTTTCAATATAGCTCTACATACCGGGGAGTACCCCTATTAATGGAAGATTACACATGTGCGTCCTATTCCCAAGTCGAACAATACAACCAGAATAGAAAACTACCGACCAATAACCATTCTCTCTTCGATTGCCAAGCTGTTTCAATCTTTTTTTAATACACTTGTAGCTTCTCAAATAAAACCCTTTCTCTATGATTCACAACATGGTTTTAGGCCAAAAATTATCTGTACAAACAAACCTGTTGACCCCGAGTGATTCCAATTCCAAAAATCTGAATAAGTGAATACAAATTGACGTGTTGTACTTTGACTTTCGAAAAGCTTTCGACCGTGTAGACAATGATGTGCTTTTAAATAAGTTGTGTAGCATCAGCTTCTTGCCCAAACTACTCGGATTCTTTGCCAGTTACCTACGTGACAGGCCGCACGCACAGTAAGTACAACTCCGATGCTTTATCTCGGAAACTTTCACACCCGATCTGGAGTAAGCCAAGGTTCGATATTGGGCCCGTTACTAGGATTTGCAATCCGGATACCCGGATATTCAAAATATCCGGATATCCGACAAATATGTTATCCGGAAACGTCATCTTTGCGTATCCGGATATTTCGGACACAGCAAAAATGTAAGTGTAACAGTCATCAAAGTCATTTGCGCTTTTTCTTTTATTAATTGGGAATGAAAGTAGAAGGGATTCCCCGCACTTCATGCACGCACGCTGTTACCTCGCCATTTCTAGCAAAGAATTATTTTATTATTAAGATCGGTGCATGCGCAGTGAGTGAGTCAAATCATACACCACATCCATTATGCGCTCTCCCTCTCTAAGGTAGTAAGCTACCTTGTACTTAAAACAAGTACTCAGTAGTTCTGCCAGAGGGGAGGTTCCCTATTAACTCGTGGCCACTGTTTTGACGCCCAAAGGAAATTTTGAGGGGATGAATTCCTTGAGGGGTTCTCACTGATTAAAATAGAAATAAAGGACAATGGTAAACTCCCATATAAATTTTTGTTGATATAATTTGTACCTATGCGTTTGTATAAAAATATGTGAAAATATAGAGTTGAAATTCCTGAACAACTTTTGTTTTGGGTTTACTACTATTCTGAGAAGTAAGGAATTAAAGATATTCCAGTTTGAAGTTTTGGAGGTTATGTGTTACGTAATGGAATAAAATATATTTAATGTATTATTATATCAAAATAAACTACATAAGCCTTAAACAGAGTTAAAAAAAAACTGAATGGTGCCGTGGGTTGGTGACGTAACGAAAGTTCAGAGGAAATTCTTTTGTATACTGGTATGGTAAAAGGCATGAAGTTAAGCCATAACAAAAAAACTGAGATAGTCGTCACCAAATAAGAGGCCAAATTTGACACTTGTCATCATGACGCGAATAGGGATGTGGAGTAATCATATCGGTATTCACATTATAAGATTTTCACGCGAAATCGATTCAAAATTTTAAGAGTTTGTGATTATTTAGATTATTTTTCGGTTGACTGTTGTTAAGGGGGCCTAAAAGGCTAAATTGTACAATTCAGTTAAAATCCGTAAATGAATTCATTTACGGAATTCCTTGCAATGCTGTTACTCTTATTTTCATAAAATTGTCCCACGTCTGACGAATTGTATCCAATTCGTTTCATTTTGATTTTATAATATTCATTAATGGTTTATTACGACAATTTAGTGTAAATAAGTATATTCATCAATAAAAAAACTACATAAGCCAATATTTTTTCCGAGAAATCGAAGTGACTCGATGAAATTTAAGCCACGTTTATAAGCTGTTTTCACGAGTCATCATGAACCGTCTCGCACGCATATTCGATGACTTCCAGCCCCCCGAACAAGCCGGTTTCCGAAAGGGTTTCAGTACCATAGACCACATCCACACGCTGCAGCAGGTTATACAAAGACCGAGGAGTATAACCTGCCATTATGCTTAACGTTTGTGGACTATGAAAAAGCCTTTGATTCGATCGAGATTTGGGCGGTGCTACAGTCTCTACAACGGTGCCACATTGACTATCGATATATCGAAGTGTTGAAGTGTTTGTACAGAAACACCACTATGTCAGTTCGACTCCTGGACCAGTACACAAGGCCTATTCAATTGCAAAGAGGAGTGCGACAGGGAGACGTCATTTCTCCGAAACTGTTCACCACTGCATTGGAAGATGCCTTCAAGTTACTGAACTGGAAAGGATTCGGCATCAACATCAATGGCGAGTACATCACTCACCTTCGATTTGCTGACTATATCGTGGTCAAGGCATAATCGTTGGAAGAGCTTGATACCATGCTCGGTGATCTCAATAGAGTTTCCCAGCAGGTGGGTCTAAAAATGAACATGGACAAGACGAAATTTATGTCCATGTCGTACCAACCCCTATAACAATGGGAGCCTCTACTCTCGAAGCTGTTGACGAGTATGTCTACCTCGGACAAACCGTCCAATTAGGCAGGGTCAACTTCGCGAAAGAGGTCAATCGTCGAATCCGACTCGGTCCCTAGCTTTCGTGAAGCTCCGGGACGTCTTCTCGTCCGCAATACCGCAGTCCTTGAAGACAAGTATCTTCGAGCAGTGCGTGTTGATGTGTGCGTATGAGACATTAAGAATAATAATTTTATGTTAATATTTTTAAGTGTTATAGATCATCAATGCAACAATGTTGATTTTGTTAATACAATTATGGGAGTTGGTTATTATCGTATTTAGGTAAACCTGCACATGCTTTATTTTATTATAGTAACGCGACCTTTTTTTTTTATTTGTTATGCTATTTTTAAATTGATAAACAACAGAAAATGTGGACTAAATTCTTTATTTTTATGTTTCTGCATAAATATTTCATCTTAATAATGATTGGAAGATATTAATGTTTGATTTTTTTCGTTTTGTTTTATGTATGAAAAATAAATAAAGATCCGTTTTATCCATAATAGCCGGATATCCGGATTGAAAAATGTTGATATTCGTTTTATCCGGATCCAGGAAATGGACGGATAATGCAAACCCTACTCGAGATCAACGAAAATAAGAACAAGCGGAGAAAATTTGATACAGATCCGACGTACACAAGCGCCCGATGGCGACTGACGGCGTGTCGTTAAACCGCTAGGCAATTTACAGATTTTGGAATAAATGTGAATTTAATAAGCAATCGAAAACCAAAATTTAGCAGATTCTCTGTAGTAATTAAACGGAAAATATATAAAAATTATGTACAAAGTTAGATATTTTGTTCTTAAATTATTTTTTAATATTTACTTTTATTTTAACTTTTTTTCAACATTTTATATGATCGGATAAAGTACATCGCATCATGAAAAGAATTAAAACGTTCTTTAAACAATATCCTTATTTCTGTATAGTATATTTTTTGTAAGACCGTTATACCGTTAAATACCAAAACCTTTAGAATGTAGCAGAACAGTTTTTCCTGCTTTTCCTTCAGCGACTCGCCTTGAAAAAAAGAATTATAAAATTTCCCAATCTATTTCATAATATCGTTCGTATTATTTTTATGACTTTGACGTATGATCACAACAAAGCTTTGTTGTACCAAGGGTACCTAATTTCTCCGGATCTAAAATGCGTGTTGTACGTTCCGATCTCTTTCCAGGTGTTATGATCAAGACTGACTGACCATGGGACCTGTAAAGAGCTAGAAACTTTGGTTTCTTTGAAATTATAGATAGTCGCGATTTTGTTTCGGAGAAATAGTTTAATTTCCAATATTTAATTTATTATTTCGTGTATTTGAAGCCATGTCAAGTCGCATTTAATGTTGATTGTTGTAATTATTTTTTACATATATTATAATAACATTTTTTTTGTTTCAGTGAGATCATAAAGTAAGTTTTATTTTTTTTGAATTGTTTTGTTTTGGGGAATACTTTTGTTTCAAAATAATTTTTATTTAACACATTTTCTTAATTTAAATTTTCTAGAAATAAATGTTCTTTTCAAATTACGTTTCAACAGCACCGTTCATAATTAAGGTAGGCTTACGCCTGCTTAGAGACACTCGATGTCCCTAACGATATCGGTTATTTTTTTATATATTTTTATAAGTTTTAAAAGCTTTATAATTTTTTACAAATTTTTAAAAAATTTTGTTAATAAGACGCTGCTTAACTAGTTTATACATTTAGGCTAAAATCCATACACAGCCATGTCACACGTATATTAAAAATGGAACTAAGTTACATTGCAACACTGTGAACCCAGTGAAGCTGCAATCGTGTAAAATAGCTACACTTGTATTGAATGTTTTTTATGCTATTCCCTTCTCCATATGCAATTAAAAATGTAACAATGCAAATGCAACTACAGTCATAATCACAACCAAAAATGTACACGCCACGTGTTTCGCAACGGAACGCGTTCGCATAGGACAAGAGGCCAGGAGAGGAAGCGGGGAGGGATGATATAGTGCGTAAGTAAGCGGCGTTACAACGCACCGGCGGCAGCGCCCGTGTGGCATCGCTGTGAGGTAACTTACTTCGATTTTTGCTGCTTCAATCTGTATGTCTTTTAACTTTTTGTCATAATGATACTGACAGGAAAAGACAACGCGCTTTAGAAGAATCTCTGAAGAAAGACAAAGGCACAGGATGCTTTATTCCAAAGTTGGATCCTTTCTCGCCCGAGATCATGGCGTTCAATCAGGATCTGCCCCAAATTGTATGCAATGGCCTGGATTGGGTCAAATGTAACGTAAGTTTTTTCACGATTGTTGATTTGTGCTTATCACGCCTATGTAGCCTCTAGTTTGCGATATGGTCTGCTGATTTGGGGGAACGCTGCTGCAACACATATTACATCACTGTTTAAAACCCAGAAGAAATGTGTCAGGGCCATGTTTGGTGTGGGCCAGCGAGAAAGCTGTGTACCCTATTTTAGAAAACTAAAGATTTTAACCCTACCATCTATGTATATTTACGAGGCCTGTGTTTATATAAAACAAAATCCAGGCAACTTTAATCTAGTGAAAACCAGATATCCCAGGAAAACAAGGAACAAAATAGAAATACGGCCAAAACAACGCCCCACCTTGGAATTTTACAATAGAACGATGTTTATATTGGCACCTAAATTATTTAATAAAATACCAGATGCAGTTAAAGAACTAAATTGTAGGCAATTTAAAATAAAATTACATAATTTGTTAGTTACACAATGCTACTACAATATAAATGATTTTTTAATTGATAACATAAAATGTAAAATTTAACCACTGTGCGTGATTGAAATAAGAATTGTGTAAAATATTCGCATGCCAAGTTTTGGTGAAATGTACGATCTAATAATAATATAGGTCCTAAATATATATATATATATATATATATATAATAAACCTACACCATTGTAAACTACATTTTTCAGCGAATAAATATCTTGTATTCTTGTATTCTTAGTATTTACTTAATTTTTAAATCAACGTGTGCAGCGTGATACCCTAAACCCTCTTCTCAGAGAAGCGACGTCATCGGGTTACACTTATCCACTGCTGGATATAAGCCTCCCCCTGAGCAGGCCGACGCTCCCGGTCCTGTGTCGGCTAACGCTCCCGGTGCTGTGATGAGCCGCTGCCGGCCATCTTTCTCAGGTCGTCCCTGTCATGGTCGTTTGTATTGACGTAGTTGCACTCTAGAACAAGTCTGCTCCATCGGACATCAGTCCTCCTGCAGTCATGTGCGTCACACTGCCACTTAAGGTTACTGATTCATATCTCGCGATCTCCTTCATCGACATCTTACCTTTTTATCACCCTCTTTTCTGTGTCCTGGCCACTTACTTTTTCAATTTTGAATCGGTCTCTAATTACTTTTGTTCGTTATTCTTACTTGGTTCCTTCCGTCGTCACTCCCATCAAAATTCTCGAAGAAAAAGGACGTGTGCATCGTAAACCTCAATACTCAATCATGTAAACCTCACGTATTTTAACTGCTTATAAAGCATTGGATATGTATACGAATACAACCTTTTTTGGGCATTATTGTTGCCCTTTTACCCCTTCTTTTAATAAATTTTGTGTGGCCTGAGTCTTCACTCTTTAATTTCGCTAAGATTGGTCTACAATATAACGCATATAACCTTTGTAAATATCTAAGGAGGGAATACATTAGATCTCATATCTATAACAATTGGTTTCTTAGTATTTGTGACTCACGTTGCTTAAAATATAGTAGTTGTAAAAGGGTTCGTTCAAGAAACTACAGGTCCGTGGGACTTTATTGGATTTTATGTCTCAGGATTGTCTTATCTATATCTTGTCTGGAGCAATTCTGGGCAGAAGAAATGACATGATCTGCGTCTTAACCATCACCCGTTTGTACGTATTACTGCTGGACACGGGTCTCCTCACAGCCGAGGCTTTAAGCTACATTCCGCTGGCCCAATGCGGGTTGGGAATTTCACACGGTTTCCGAGAGTTGTGAACCATTTTCGACGTGCCGTTAATGCTCATGGTAAATTTCAAATTCAATTTCGCACATAAATTTCGGGAAACTCAGAGGTGCGAGTCCAGATTCGAACTCATGACGTCTGCTTGAGACTGCTTGAGAGGCTGTGAGTCAAACCATTAGGCTACCACGGCCTTTTAATCTACTGTTACCTCTTAACCAAGTGACCCCTCGCAGCGCCGAGAATGTTTGTATTTAATTATTAATATTACTGTTTGGCGGCAGTAATGGATACGGTGGCAGTACTTCCTCGGACGAACTCGTTCTCAAGGATCTCTACGGTTACTAAAATAAATAAAATATTATTTTTTCAGCTCAGTGAATGTACGGTAGTCCCGAGTATATTGAATTCAACCAAGGATATAAACTGTTACTTTCACGATATCATTCACAAGACCGATCGTGACTATTACGTTGAACCCATGGCCACATTGATAATTAACGATGAAGTCTTCATAGTTGAAAATTCAGATAATGTGAAAGTTTCGTGCACTGGGAGAGCTTTAGCTAAGTAAGTATACAGTTAGTGAGAAAGATTAGATTACAAGCGAATTAAATACGAAACATTACCAATAATTTTCTTTTCTTATTTTACGTTTTATTTTATGTCTTTTTTTTCCTTTTCATAGATAGTCAAATGAATTTCCTTTTTTTTTTTTTACATATAATTTTTTTCACCATTTTTACAGACAAATCTTGCGAAAAATCTAAAATTCTACACGCATTGTGTTACGGACGGCTGTACGCTTGGCCGGACAGAGCAAGAATGAGTAATTCGGGAGCTCTGATTGGCCGAGCGTCGTTAGCGACCAATTGATAGGGCCGGTACGGTGTGGGAGGCGCCGTGTCGGTATAAGTGAAAATTAATCTCATTGTCTTATTCGTAATTAAGTTGTGATTATGTTCAGTCGCGGTCGATATTCTTGCCATATAAGTCATATATTACATAGATAGAAGAAGTTTTATGAAAATATACAGTCAACTTCCTGAATCAATAAGGAGTTTTATTGAAGAAAAGCAGGATATCGAAGATAGTCGACTGGGTCTCAACACGTTGTATATTTCTTTCAGTGACCGCCCAATGAAGTGGGTAGGTGTAATCTCCGGTTTGCGGTCGACGGTAAAGCCTTTGAATCCTCCACCTGGCAGAGAAAAGACCATCAATGTGCTGATGTTCGGTTTCGATACCACGTCCCGAAATGGTTTTATCAGGAAGATGCCCGAGAGCTATAAGTATTTGTCGATTGATTTAGAAGCCACTTTTTTGACTGGGTAGGTATTGAAACAGGAACAAAGGGAGCAATACTGACTGCTTAAAAAGCTTTTCGTAACTAACGTAATCGACATTTTTAACGAAATTGAGAAAACTTGAGAAACATTATCCCAATCAGCAAAACAAGATCTACAACCCCTTATAAGCGGTTTTTTAATATCTTATTTAGTTTCAGTTTTATTAAGCGAAACTGATATTTTTGATACAAAAAAATTTCAACTGCCAATATCTCGAAAATTATTTTTAAGGTTATTGAATGTCACAGTGTTTTACTATGATAATTTTCAATTATTTTTGTGAAATTATTCCACTAGTTAGTTATAATCATTATAACACAGATCGAAACACTAAGAAAATTCTCGAAAGTTACCAAAATTCAAATACGTTAATAGGCTGCTTCGTTGTGTACCGTACAAGTAGTCAGTGTTAGAAAGTGCGACACAACCGAAACTATGTGCCTAAATTCCCGGAACTTGTGCTCAGTAATTATTCATCCAATTACTGAGCACAAGTTAATTTAAATTGTCAATTTTTGTAAGTTCAAACACAAATACACTGTATTTAGCTATAATCCGGCTATTCTTGTTAAAATATACCTATGCCTACCTATAAAATATACCTATATGCTTAGAATAATAACGCATAGAATGATAGTTTCATATCAAACGAACTGTCACAAGTGAGGCAAAAATCAAATTCATGTAGGCGTAAGCAACTTGTATCTACGCTCGTCGGCACGTTCACAAATATACAAATAATGATGCCATGGAATTGAATGGAAACGCGTTACTTCCTTGTGGAATGTGATGGTAGTATCTATTTTATATTTGTTTGACGTATTTTTACACTCATTTAGTCATTTTTAGCTAAAATTCTTGAGCTGTTCGCGGTGTAAGTGTGTGTTGACCTTGAGCACTGAAGCCCCGCCCGCTCGTGTAGGCTCATTGGGAGCGCTTCAATTTGCCTCACTATATGAATAAAAATTGTTCTCGATACTAGACTATCTCGATATAGACCAACTGTCAAAATAAGAATAAAGAAGGCAATAACGCAATTAATAAACATTAGAACGTCATAACATTCACAATTCAATCATTTTTGGATGATTTTTGGCTAAATTTTATCTTCTTTCACAATAGGGAATCGGATAATTTTTCAGAAAGTGTCTAGAATTAACTAAAATAGATATGTACAGCCATGAAAAATAATATTTTATTAAAATAAAGCTTAATAGTCTCTAAAATGTGCTAAAACTACGTTAAAATTTAAATAGAAACAAATTGGCGCGCAAACGTAACAAAATGTCAAATTGAACGCGTGACGTCATTTGTAGGTAAACAAACTACGAAATCAAGGGCAAGGTGAATTTTATATGTAATTTTCCATATCATTCGGCAGCTAAAATTCGAATACATAATTATTACATTACATAATTAAAGGCACTAGTGAATATAACACAACATTTACTATTTAATTATTAACACATGCTTCGATCTATGTATCCCTCACTGCATAAAGTGTACTTATGTCGAAGTGATCCTCACAAAAGTATATCGCTGAATTTACAGATATTTCGTCGTTTTAGGACCAACCATTTTTTTCGTATGTCGGATTTTCGAGGTACATCAATAAATAGTTTATTTAGGGTAGTTATAGAAGTATTCCTACATTGAGGTACTACACACCAACGATATGTTTTCCGTTCCATAACGACTTCAAACTTCACAAAAACATTAAAATAACACCTTGCCCTTGATTTCGTAGTTTGTTTACCTACAAATGACGTCACGCGTTCAATTTGACATTTTGTTACGTTTGCGCGCCAATTTGTTTCTATTTAAATTTTAACGTAGTTTTAGCACATTTTAGAGACTATTAAGCTTTATTTTAATAAAATATTATTTTTCATGGCTGTACATATCTATTTTAGTTAATTCTTGACACTTTCTGAAAAATTGTCCGATTCCCTATTTATCGATAGAACCATCGACAATAACTACATAACTATTTAAAACTTTATGAAAACTGGCAACCCTACAAATGTCATTTCCTACTTTCGTACTTCGTCTTCAAAAAAGACAGACTGTAGTAGGCTATCCAGACAGCGGAGAAATTCCGACTGTTGCGTCGGACAAGCCGCGTCCTTACCACTGCGGCTACCGCCCCTACATACATTATGAGCACCAGACATCACACTGTTACCAGCAATGTGTTGCCTTGGAGTTCAAAATGAACATTTTTTATTATGAAGTTTGTTTTGAGTTAGGCATTTGTCCATATAGGTAATGTCATTCAGCTCTGTGCATTTTTTCTCAACTTGTCATGTCATCACACTCGTTTGAAACTTTCTTCGACCAGTTTTTTAATTAAGCTGTCATCTATCTGATACTCTACGTTCTACCTAATTCCAGCTTGGTCTCTAGAACTATCATTTGTTTTTTAGTTACAACATCATAGGAGATGGCACTACTGCAGCACTACAGGCTTTATTGACTGGTAGGAACGAACTGGAGTTTCCTGATGCCCGAACGCGCTATGTCAAAACGTTCTTAAATAACAGCAAGTTCATTTTC